TTATTTTGATGTGGAGGTTTATCATTTTTCTTTGAGGTTACCCTGTGATTTATAGTTTTCTTCCCAAGTTTAGAACAGTCCATTCCAACTTGTAGTTGTCTTAACATTCCTACCATCTAGAAGTTCTGTAACAACACAGATTTTTTTCCCTCTTTTTTGTTTGCAGTTGTCCTCATTTGTCAGTTGGTGTCTCTGGTTCCCTGTTTACAATCTTGTAGAGTTATTTACTTTGGATATTTCCATAGCTGGGTTGGTTTCTGGGTTATATCGTCATGTGTGTTAATGGTCAGTTGTTGTTGGCTGTTGTTACTTCTCTGTCCAAAGGGCTCCCTTTAGCATCTCTTGTAATGTTGGTCTGGTTTTAACAAATTCCTTTAATTTCTGCTTATCTGGAAATGTCCTAATTTCACTGTCATATTTGAAGGAAAAATTTGCTGGGTACATAATTCTTGGTTAGAAATTTTTCTCCTTCAGTGTTTTATAAATACCATCCCACTGTCTTTTCATCTGCATGGTTTCTGTTGAGAAATCTGAGCTTAGTCTTTTGGTTGCCCCTTATTGGTAACTTTTCATTTTTCCTGTGCTGCTGTCATGATTCTTTCTTTGTCTTTGGTTTTGGTGAGTTTGATGATAATATGTGTTGGTGTTTTTCTTTTGGGTTCTATCTTGTTTGGAGTTTGGTGGACTTCCTGAATGGATATATTCTCATCTTTCAACACATCAGGGAACTTCTCCTCCAACAAATCTTGGACAATTTTCTCAGTGGTTTTGTTTTTCTCTTCCTGTTCTGGAATTCCAGTCACACATAGGTTATTCCTTTTGATGGTATTCCACATGAACCTTAGGCTTTCTTCATTTTGACCTTTTTTCTGGTTGAGACCTTTCCAAAGAAGTATTCAGGTATTTGTCTTCAATCTCATTAATTCTATGTTCCATTGCATCAGTTCTACTTCTTTGCCCTTTCAATTTGTTATCTATTTCTGACAATTTAGTATTAATCTTCTGGATTTCTATCTGTAGATTTAGAATCATTTCTAATTTTTCATTTATTTTGTCATTTTGGTCTTGTATTTTCTTTTGAAATTCTTCTAGGGTTTTGTCTTTATTTTTCTTTTCTGTCTCTCAATCCTTTGAAGATACCTAAATATAATTCTTTTGAATTCCTTAGCAGGAAGTTCCAATGCTGCATGTTCCTCAGGGATATGTTTTGGGTCTGTATCCTGGTCTCTTGTTTCTCCTGCTTTATCTTGCTTCTTTGAGTGGACTATGATGCTCTGTTGTCTCCAAGGCATTGTGATGTTTTTGTGATTATATTTAATTGGTGATTATATGTTGGAGTGACTTGCCCACAATTTTCATTTTATTTGTTTTGTTTTTATGTTATCTATACAGGCAAGGTACTGTGCTGTGCTCCTCTATTCATTAGTTGACAGCACTTGTACACTCACCACCTGTCTCCTTTCCTTTGTCAGCCTCTTGTATGTCCTTGCTGACCCTGGCAAACAGAACCTGTTTTGAGATCCCTGGAATCTGAATGAGAATGCTATCACTTTAAAATCCAAAATGGTTGCCACTTGTAAACATTCAAAATGGCTGCACCCTTGGTCACTTTAAATATCCAAAATGGCTGCCACATGTAAACAATCAAAATGGCTGTGCCCTCCAGACAGCAGAAAGTCCATAGCTCAGGTTGTCTCCTTCCTTGCTGTTTCTCTTCCTAGTCATAGGCCACCAGAGCAGTTGTCTCTGCAGCCCTTGGTGACCAGGACTGACCTTTAGGTCAATTCTCAGGTGCCAACACCACTTGGAAATATTCAGGCTGTTGGTCTCGTCAGAGTAGCTGACAGTCCACAGCTCCAACTGTCTCTGTACTCACTGTTTTCATTCACATTTTTCCACTAGTTGGTGCCTAATCCACTTCTGTATAGTTCCTTTCAAAGTTCAGGGTTCCAGGATTTTCTTCTGTATCTCTGTCAAATGGTTTTTCTGTTCTTTGTGGAAGAGGGGCCTGTCTGCCTATTCCTCCATCTTACTGGAAGTCCCACCTGTGGTTCTTTTAGTTTCATTAATTGTTTCAGCTTCTTACCAAAACCAAACCAAACTCACTGCTATTGAGTTGATTCTGACTCAAAGCAACCTCCATTGGGTTTTCTAGGTGGTAAATCTTTTCAGAAGTAGATTGCCCAGTCTTCCTTCTGCTTTCAGCTTCTCAACATTCCTTAAATAAAATTTTTGCTTAAATAAAAAGAAACAGTAGTATTTGTGGTGGTCCCAGTGCACCTTGTTTGTTCACTTCTTCATTTATTTTCTGTGCATCTGTTAAATGTCTAGGACTAGGCTAAGACCTAATTGCTGCTCAGTAATATTTTTGGAAAGAAAGAATGACAGAGCTATGTAGGAGTTATTAAATGGCATAAATATTCTTTCCCAAATTAATGCCATGTTATATTTACCATGCAAAGATGGAAAACAGCATTGAATTTGACAAATGACATCTTCTTGCCAGGTGGGAATTTTGAACTCTCTGGCTTGGAAAGAATCTTAGCAAGACAACAGTTGCTAGAAGAGATTAATCTGACACCAAAACCAAGCAGTATGCTCATCTGGAAAAGAAAAGTCAACAACAATGTAAATAATGGGTGGAAGACATGCCACTTGTGGAAGAAAACCATAAAGGAGCCTCCATTGTCAACTGTTCTTGTAAGGTAAGCTTGCCTAATATTTGTCCTATATGGACCATATTTAGAGATAGACAAGATGATCACAAATGTTCTTTTTCCTTAGCTAAAAAATGACTTAATGGGGTCTTTGAAATAATATTGTTGTTGTTGTTAGGTGTCATCGAGTCATCTCCAACTATAGCGACCTTATGTACAACAAAACAAAATATTGCTCAGTTCTTGAAAAAGAAAGAAAATTGGCACTGCTCAGTTTAAAAGCATATGGGCACCAATCACATACACCAAGCTGCTGGAGAAGCAGTCAGTGGTAGAAAACTCATGGAGACTTATGAAGGTATTTGGGTCCTCCATTATCCTCTCCATTCTTGGTTGGTGAAAAGAGATCTAGCAGAGATACAGTGCAATTCTTAGAGAGTGACCCAATCACAGAGTAGTTCCACTACTGAAGTGGATTGTTACCATATGACCTGTAGAGCTTTTGTTTTATCCCTATTCTGTAAGCTCAGTGTTCATGTATTGGAAAGCTCCAGCCTTTCCCCTGGCCTCACTGAAGGACTGGGGCCCAAGTGATTTGTTCAGTCAGGATTTACTACTTTAAGCACAGATAGTAACAGTTATCCCTGGAGCTTTGCAGGAGGTCTGTTCCTTTTTTTTTTTTTGATAGCAGGCCTGTAGCTACCAGACTTGGAGCCATTAAACCTTACATCTTTGTGCTTATGGAATAGATACTATGATAGTAGTAGTTGGTGTTTTTCGTGTACTTAATCTGCAGGAGGGAACTCTGGTAGCATAGTGGCTAAAGCACTTGACTGCTAACCAGAAGGCTGGTGGTTCAAACCCACCAGCCACTCCTCGGAAGGAAGGTTGGGCAATCCTACTTCTGTAGTGATACTGCCTCGGAAACCCAAGGAGGGGTGACTATGAGTCGGGGCTGACTTGACGGCACATAACAACAACAACAACAATCTGCAGGAAATACATAGACAACTGGTCCTCCTCATGGTCTATTTGCCATTGATATATACCATAGGTTACTAGAAGGAAGAAAGCACATATCTAGCACCTTAGACTTTTATTCAATTTAACTTCAGAGTAAGAGTTTATTAATATAGAACCAATTAATTTAGAATATGTACTTATTTATATTTCAATTTAGTGAAAATCTTGTATAAAAAGGTTTCATGAAGACCTTTTCTGTTTATTATAATACTATCATGTAATGTCCTAATGGACATCCTAATCTTTCCAGTTTTTATCATTTGATACATAATAATAAAACTTGCTTAAATGATCAGAGACTGAGATATTTCTTTAGATAAAAAATGCCTTTTTGATATATGCAACAGTGTGGATGGAGCTTGAAGATATTGCACTTAATGAAATAAGCTAATCAATAAAGGACAAATAATGTATGATCTTACTTATGTAAAAAGATAAGAAGAGGCGAATATACAAAGTCCAAAGTTTATTAGTGTTTACCAGGGGTGGGAGGGAAAGGGAAAAGGGGAGTTAATGGTGATGGAAGAAATGCATTGATTAAGGGTAGAGTCGTGCCGATTATTGTAATTACTAAGTTCTACACTTTTAAAAGTCAAATTGGCAAAAGTTGTGTAATATATTTATAACAAGAACCAAAAAGAAAAAAAAAAAAAAAAAAGGACAGAGTAGCTGTTTCCATACAAGCAAATACCTCCTTGGTTTGGAGGCTTAGGCTCATGGATTCATGGGACATCCCAGTTAATTTGCCTAATTATGTGTTTAGTGCTTCCATTCTAAATCCTAGTTGATTGTGTAGTGACTGGGTCTTAAACTTGCAAGTCACTCTCAAAAAACACAATAATTGTTCTTTATTTACTTGGAGAAAAAGAGCAAGAAGGAGAGTCAGGAATAGGAGGGGGGATATGGGATGTGTGGTTAATTACCACTATGAACTACTGCCTCCTTTGCCATGAGACCAGAAAAACTGGATGGTGTCTGGCTACCTTTACTGAATTTTTTAACTAAAGATTCCACAGACAAATCCTGACCAAAGGGGGAAAATGCAGAAGAAAGTTTCAAATTCTCATGAACTCTAGACTTTCTAGATCCATGGAGGGTAGTTTAACCCCTAAAGCTACTGCCCTGAGATAATCTTTAAACCTTAAACCAAAAATATCCCCTGAAGTCATCTTACAACTGAACAATAGTTTAGCTTAGATAGTTAAAAAAGGTTTGCCTTTTTTATTTGATCATATATATATGATCAAATTAACAATAGCAACTTGAAAGATCAGATAAGAATGTTAGGGTGGGAGTTCCGGCAAGATGGCAGACTAGGCAGAAACACTGCACAGACCCTCTTCAACAAAGAAAAGGGAAACCAATTAACACAGACACAGAAGATAATCTTGGGCCCCTGAGCCCTGAAGGGAAGGATATAGAAGTGGACTAAACCCCAACTAGCAGAAGAATTTGCGTGAAAATACCAAAAAAGGAGACATATGGAGCTGAGGTCTGGCAGTGATCCTGAGCGATCCTGATGGCACAGACAGCTTGGAGATTCCCTAGTGGTGGTAGGACCTAAGAATTAACCTAAAAATCACCCTGCTAGCCAGGGACTGAATGCAGGACTGTGCACGCTGGCTGGGGAACAAATGGAGAAGGTGAAGAGAAAGGTGAGCTGAACTGTGGATATTGCCGGTCCAGAGGGCACCACCATATTGAAGGTTTAAAAAATGGCTTGACTATTTTGGATATTTAAAGAGACAGTGCTCTCACAGATTCCTGGGGCTTAAAAACACGTTCTGCTTTCCAGCAACCCCAAGGACACTCGGGACCTGCAAGACTGACAAGGTACGACATTCCTCTTGTTACTCTTATACCCCACACCTGCTTGGTGAACGAAGGTGCAGCCATCCCCCACTCCCACCTACCTTCTGGGCCCACAGGAACTCCATCACGGTCGGTGTGCTTGGACAGAGCCTGCGTGCCCTGCCCTGTCCTCCACTAATTTTTCTTTCCCTCTTATTTTATTTTTTCTTTTCACATCCTTTTTTTCTGGTGATTAGATTGCTTGTATTTGTCTGTTTTAAAACAACTAATATTATTAATACTTTTTTCCTTTCTATTATTATTACTAATCTTCCCCTCCAAGGTCCTAGTTTTCAGCATTTTTTCTTTTCCCTGTACCTGGTTGAATTTTTTCTTTTTTTTAAGGTTTTCTTTTTTTTTCTTTTCCCCCTTTTTTCTCATGATTAACCCTGTTCCTTTATTTTCTTTTTGCAATTTTTCCATTTTTTTTCTTCATTTATTATTCTCCTTCCCTACTTTTTTTTTTCTTAGTGCCCTATCCCCAGGTATTGCAGGTTTGCTTGTTTTTGCTTCCTTTTTTCCCTTTTTCCTTTTTTTGGTTACTGTTCCTGTGTGATTACATGGTGTGTTTTTCGTCCATGTGCTTTTAGTTTTTTGATGGATATTCAAATGTAATTTGTGTCTAACTGAGTGGGAGACAACAACAGTCCCTATAAGACACAATTACACCCATACCTCCTGCAATGTCACTTACTGAGCGAGAGCCACCACCTCCTTCTCCACCAATGGGCCAATGATAAAAAAAAAAGCACCAAGAAGAGCCTGAGTCACCCTTGGCTGCTCTTCACAAACAGGTAACAGAGATCTAAATACAACAATGCCATGATGCCTCAGAAACAACAGACCATCACAGTCCACACGAAGAAGCAGGATAAAGTGGTAGAAACAAGGGAGCAGGATACAGATCCAGAACACATCCCTGAGGAAGAAGCAGCATTGGAACTCTCTGATAAGGAATTCAAAAGAATTATATTTAGGTGTC